ATCTTTTACTCCAGTTAGAATTCCACTTGCAACTTGTCGGCATTTAGGTAGATTGTACAGGGTATAATCTGGGAATTGGTAATACTTCAGTTTGTCATCCGAAATGTTAGCTTCCATAATTGTGAAACAGTTTGTCATCCGAAATGTTAGTTTCCATAATTGTGAAAATGTCTTCATCACTTTCAGGATTTCTGTAACTGCTGTACTTGGACCTTTTTGTCCTGTGACATCCCTCCAGCATTCCACTGGAGGATCTAGAATTGTGATTTTTAGGATTTTCTGTACTTGGATCTTTTTGTCCGGAGACATTCCCGTCCACTGACACTGCTGTACTTGGACCTTTTTGTCCTGTGACATCCCTCCAGCATTCCACTGGAGGATCTAGATGACATTCCTTCAGCATTCCACTGGAGGATCTGAAGACGTTCTGATTCGCCCTGACGAGGGCGATTTTTCTTATAGCCCTTTTTAAAGCTAATCATAATAAATAGAAGTCTAAATGCAGATTTTTTGCCGTAAGAAAATACGTTGTCCAGGGTGCACATTGACTTTTTGCCGTAAGAAAATACGTTGTCCAGGGTGCACCTCGATTGATAGACTTTTTTGCCGTAAGAAAATACGTTGTCCAGGGTGCACCACGAGGAGGTAAGTCTATCGCGCACCCCACTTCCCAGATATTGAAAATAGGAAACTTAGACGCTTCTTGCATAAAGGATTAGCGTAGAAAAAGTCTCTTGGAAGAGGTGCATGCTGATTATGGAACTACAGTAAGACGTCTATCTTTACCTAATTGTCCCCCCCCCCCCACTCTGATTTAAAGGAGGTGAGAAATCCCTTATTTGAATATAGGGAACCAACAATTGTTTTCAAGATGCAGTTTTCATAGGCTATACATGATGGTGACGAAATTATCTGGAATTATGTATCTTGAATTTCACTATTATAAAGAAAAAGAAAATTCGAATGTACGAAAATTAGGCTTTAACACAGCCCCACTGTTACGGATTTCAGATGGAGTAGGGCGTTTGATTCTTCGATTAATTTATTAATTGATTCCTTAGAAATATTGTTTGACGTGCTTCCACTCTGCTCTTTGGTTAGATGCCATCCATGACTAACAAACAACATGGCAATTACTTCAGTTAGAATAATAGCTGAATTTGCGAAAATGCAGGAATGGCGTGTTTTCAGGTGGTAGATTATCGTTATGAATAATCGTTAGGTGAATAATAAAGATATTTCCAATGAGGTATATTTTGATGGAACATTTTATCGATAGTTTGAATATAGACTTACCTTCACGTGGTGCACCCTGGGCAACGTATGCTCATACGGCAAAAAAATCAATTACCTGGCAGTTGACTTCAAACTACCATGACCCCACTGTATGTCATATTCGACCACTTTCACAATACTTACCTCACCTTTTTTTCTACCTTTGTGTCTGTCTGTCTCTTTTACATCTGTGGATTTCTCTTCTGTTCTTCCTCTCGACCTTTTTGTCAATTTGATGCTCCTCCTCTCTGTGAAGCCCGAAGTCAGCTAAAGGGCTAATGATAGCTGTCAAACCGCCTGCCATTTGACATAAATAATTTGCAGATAAATTGCACATAGAACTTAATGCGAACTCTGAGTGATTGTTCATGGGAGAATCAACCTTAGAAAAGTCAAAGACCAATGTTTCAGCCAGGGAAAGCCTGTATTCCACTGATTCTTCTAAAATTTCAAACTGCTTTAACTCTGACCGAACAGCATACAAGAGGTAACATCTGTGACGAAATAGCATTTGCCCTCTAGGTCATTATAAATTTTTGAAAGTACGCATAATTGAAGGAGTATGAGGTCACAACTGTACAGGGGATATCAAAGAATAGCAGCCGGTTTCATATCGGAGACGCGTGTGAACGCATTAGCCAAGTTTAAATATGAAAAGTGGAGTATCCCAGAATTTGTCTTCAATTTCTATTTTCTCCCCTTAATTTCCCCAATTTATCGCTTCACGCACTAATACCCCAGTTTCCGAAATGCAATTTTTTCTGTATTCTGAGTGATTTTGTGTTCGTAGAGTTGAGTTCTTATTCATCAATTCACTCAAGATAGGGATTCCTTTTTAAACCCGAGGAAATACTAAAATGAGACGAATTTATGAATATAAGCTCTATGTAAAGGAACCTAACTAAAAGAGAATTTCACATTTTTTTCAGATAGAACACTGCGTCAAGTTGATTTTGCTTATTTTCATCTGATGCTAAAGGCAAGCAGACAAAAAAGTTTCGTTAAAATGGGAACAGACTACGTTTATTTCGATTTTTATTAGTTTGACTTGAGTTTATATTGACAAGCTGAAATTATGTTATTAAGTGTAACTACATATCTCCGTTGATGCAACTTCTCCTTACGTTCTGGGTTAATTTAATCTTCCCTTGAAACATGGGGAGGATACAATTGTCATTCAATCGACGAGATAGAAAATCAATGACAGCTCATTAGCCTATCTGTCAATTAAATAATTAATGGAAGCTGGAATGGGTTATTATCAATCATAATGGAGCCTAAAGTTATCTCCTATTTCCTTGTTCAGCCAAAACACTCAATGGACAATAAGACGTTATTTTATTTCAGAACATTTTTTATTATAATTGTTTACTTTGCAGAATTTTACAGTCCTTGACAAATTGGAATGGGGTAATGAATAAGAATTGACAACTATTGTTCATTTCGCAATAGAAAATCGACAATTAATTGTGTCAGAAGTAGGCAATACGCTGACCATCTTGAAGCAAGGAAGGAAACCACTATTCCTGGGAATTACACCTATGGAAAGTAATTTGTTCCTAATTCCACTGAGGAAATAGCTTTGACGGTTGTCACGCTCTATACTGGCCAGAAGTAGTCGGTGCCATTGGCTATTCCACTAATTGCTTGCACGATCACAGCCATGGACCAAATTCCTGATTCCGATAGAGTTGGGATCATGGTTCTGAATACCCTAACGTCCATTTACACATCTGATCTTTTTTATCATTAAACAAATAACCCAAATTTCCAGGTTCTATTTCTTAACAAGAGTGTACCTCTACTGCATGCATAGTGAAAATGCTGATATTATTTTCGAATTACTTTTCTTACTAAAAAAATGACCTGTACAATTAAAGCATTTATATTTGCCTTATTTAGGATAATGAAATTATTTTTCTCTGCAGACGATATTCAATGCTCCCTACTAATTAGTCATAAAGCATCAAAATAACGAGGCGAATAGAGTTGATCCAATCCTCATTATTCGACGAGGATCTACACCAAATGACTTCAAGTTCTAATGGTGTGTGAACTCAACATCATCGAAGAAATTAAAAAAAACTAGACAAAGTCTAATTAGACGGTTTATATGGCGTCTGAGCATCGTCCACCTTGAATGAAATATTTTCGGATGCCATTTAGTACTTTTATCCAAATCTCCCAAGGGAGATTTAATAGATTTCCCTATTTAAAGAACGTCAAAACATCATGTGCAGTAGAATCACTACCCAGAGGCTAATAAAATTCACTGAAGGCTGATTCTATGCCCAATTTTGATTTTCTCGAGTAATACTTACGGTTGAGTTTTTATTTGCGTTCCCTTCTGCTAACTTGGATTTCTCCCTGAACTAGATCATTTATTGTTTTTTGCCTTCAATTCTTTCGACACCCAGTTGTGCTTAATTAAATTCTATTTTTTTATCCGGATGATTAGGAGTTACTTTCTAACAACTCAAAATTAATGTCCCATTCGAGATATTTAATAAAATTTATAACTAATATTTCACTATTTTTTTGCAAATTTCAAAGAAAATGAATGAATAGCAAAAATAATCTTTTGCCAAAGTAAAGTAATTTAAAGTGAATTTTGAATTTAACGGAATACTATCTCTTCCTTAAAATTTTGAATATGTCTGTCATTTGTAACTTCAATTTATGCCCATAATTTGATTTAGTAATTGTGATATTTTAAATTTAATCCTCTAAATCTTATTTACAAATCCACTTTTCGCTTAATTTGACACATCTGATAAGAAATCAGTTCAGTCTGTCATACGTAGTGGATTAAATCTGGTCAAATAACAATTATAAAGATTGCGATGACATTTGAAATGCATATTTCAAGTCGCCTCAAGTCCTTTTAAATTGAAAAGTAGCTGTATTATCACTCATGATATAATAATTTTTGAATAATAGATTCGAAATGCCCAGTAAGTCACATCATTTAACTTTGAAAAATTAAGAATGTATCAAAGGATCAGCGGGGTTTAACTTTTTGATGAGAAAAAGTGGATTTACTTAAAGTAATTTCGTACATTCACAACGGCTCTAAGTTCCCCGTCTCTTCACCCTAAAATCTGATGTGACATACCTGTGGTAAACTAACCTACACCTCAACTAGATCAACAGCTAAACAAACTCTTAATACTCTTGATCCATGTTCTCATGCTCCGGTCATTTGAACAAGCCGATGCTATCAAGAAGTCCATACTCTTTGTGAAAAATCAAAACCCTTGAATTACGTAATTTAACTTAAAGACAATTGTGTACCTCGTTTTCGACAATAATTTCTATTCGATGCCCCAATTTATTCTTAACCAAGCCATTTCCCTCTTGCAATCTTCGATGGTGTGATTGCCAAATTGCGTACGACTTCATGACTTCATTAAATTTTCATCTGGTTTGACTTATTTTCATGGTTTCACCGGAAATAAGCGCCGATATACTAAAACAAGCAGCTGTACTATTTATTGAAACAAAACCGTTACTAATTTTAGTTGTACTTTAGCAGTAATACCTATACTGCAACTGCAGTTGAGAATTAAATGAAAATTTTATGTCTATCATGAAAAGGAAGTTGTTTTTGAGTATAAATTTAGTGTTGCCAAACTTCAAGGCTGGACGCATATTCCAAGGAATTACATGCAGTCATTCATTGGCATTTAAAACGGAAAAAGATGAAGTTAGTAAGCTAAAATTTATCCATAATTTAAATGGAGACAATGCACTAAGCGTTTTAATTTTAGCAACCGGATCTGTTTTGAAAAAAAGTTAGTAACTTTTCCGGTAGTTGAAGGGGAGCACCACTCCAGTTGGTGGGCTCACTGTCATAATTTGAAGTTGATATTAAAAGGCAGTTAATTTAATTAAGGCGAACGAGAGTTTAAGCACAACCAGCCTAAAAGGACGCGATGCTGTCTAAGGTAAATGCCGGAACAAGTTGACGTCTCCTTCTTAAATACCTCTTCTAAGCAAGAGCTATTTGCTGTCATGACGTTGGACTAAATTTCGAACTTTAGTTAAAGTTTTGAGAGATCCGAGGTTTAAGTTTTCCATTTTTAACGGAAAAATCTAATGTTTTAATGCAAAAGTGTGTGAATTCGC